AAAAAAGTTCCCATTTTGTAACAGTACTTATTTAATAAATTTAACAACTTCTAATTTTTAGCACAGGGAACCCTAAGTGACAAGAGAACCTAGTTATATCTTTATAATACATCATTTTGTTTTCATTGTATTTATTTTTATGGTGGTATAAACTTTCATTTTAAAATTTAAAAGATTTTACATTTTCATTTTAAAATCTTTAGAAAGTGAGTTGACATAAAGGAAAGTATTAAATAAATAGAAAACAGTAAAAAATAAGAAAGGCAAGGCTGGGCATGGTGGCTCATGCTTGTAATCCCAGCACTTTGGGAGGCCAAGCCAGGCAGATCACTTGATGTCAGGAGTTTGAGATCAGCCTGGCCAACATGGCGAAACCTCAACCCTACTAAAAATATAAAAATTAGGGAGCGACGGTGCACACTTGTAACCTCAGCTATTTGGAAGGCTAAGGTGCGAGAATTGCTTGAAACCAGGAGGCAAAGGTTGCAGTGAGCCAAGATCATGCCACTGCACTCCAGCCTGGGTGACAGAGACTTAGTCTCAAAAATAATAATAATAATAAAGTCAGTAAGTGTGGCAAACATTTGGGAAACATTTATGTAGAAGAGGGTATCTCAAACTTTTAATGTGTATCAGAATCACCTGGAAGGCTTCTTAAAACATAGATTACCCAGAATTTCTGACTGAGTACTTGGGTCCAAGAATTTGCATTCTAACAATGCATGGTGATGCTGAGGTGATGTTGAATTGCTGGCCCAAGGACCATGCTTTTCAGAATCACTAAACCACAACAGTGATCAACAAGCTTTTTGTTAAAGAGCCAGATGGTAACTGCTTTATGTTTGCGGGCCATATGACTCTGTAGCAACTATTCAACTCTAGTTTTAAGCCAAAGCAGCCACAGGCAATATGTATATGAATCAGCATGGTTGTGTTCCAATAAAACTTTATAAAAAGCAGGAGTCGGCTGGACGCGGTGGCTCACGCCTGTAATCCCAGTACTTTGGGAGGCCGAGGCGGGTGGATCACGAGGTCAAGAGATCGAGACCATCCTGGTCAACATGGTGAAACCCCGTCTCTACTAAAAATACAAAAAATCAGCTGGGCATGGTGGCGCATGCCCAGCTACTCAGGAGGCTGAGGCAGGAGAATTGCCTGAACCCAGGAGGCGGAGGTTGCGGTGAGCCGAGATCACGCCATTGCACTCCAGCCTGGGTGACAAGAGTGAAACTCCATCTCAAAAAAAAAAAAAAAAGCAGGAGGCTATACTGCCAGTCCCTGATCTAAAACACATCCTTCACATAACTGAGAAGAGTCTACCATGTAAACTAGTAGTAGGGCAGAATACAGAACAGAACAGCCAGGTATACTATAGATACTATCCGATAAGTATCAGTTAACACTAGAAGAGAAAAGTGGGGTCTGCAGAAATCTAAGGTATTAAGAAGATTAAAAACAAAACATTTACCATATTCAGGAGACAAGATTCAGCAAGGACAGCTGGTTAAATTCTTTTCATGTTGAGTCAAGTCAAACATCAGTTGTACATGGTTCACAACTATATTGGAACATATGGGTCAATACTGAGTGCTTTTTGGAAAGAAGTTTTAAAGATTCTTTTCTATGCTAATACCAAAATGACATTTATTCAGCTGAATGGAGTACATGTTACTTTCTGATGGCTTTGACTTCTTTAAGTCCTAAGTTATTCAGTTCAAACACAAACATGGAGCTGCAGATGATTTCAGAGGTTTCACAAATTACTTTTCTCTACATCCTCAGTAATTTTACAAAATTGCATACTGATCTATTTTGGCTCTGCCTTCCAATGTCTATTCTAGCAGCTGCTAGTGCCTGAGAATCTAACCCAAAAGGAAACAGAATAGTTTTCCTGCAAGTTCTGAAATCACAAAATTCTAGTCAGAAACTTACCCTTTCATTCCCTCATTCCTTTTCCAGCAAGACGTTCCAGCTTCCTTCATCTTCTTAGTTTCTTAGTAGAGTGATTAAGTTATGTCAAAATGCTTGTTTCCTCAAGGACTCTACACACTAACAGCAGTAGGCTTGAAGGGTTCAGTCCTTTTCAAGCACCTTTCTGGAATTCCAAACTTAGGGAGTATCTGCCTCATTTAACTAGTCTTGCCCACTTACTGACCTTTAGTTTTAACCCATCTGCTTGTCTTCTCAATCCCCCTGCTTGCTGAACTCACAGCAACTTTAAGCTTTAATGCTTTCATGAGCCGCCTGTTACTGAAGAGTATCTGACTCACTAAACCTGACCTTGATCCATGATACCTAATGTTCACTGAATTCCTACTACCCATCTTTAACATCTTTAACATGTTGAACACTACCATCTATCCTTACGACAACATCCTACCTAAACGAAAACAAAGAAATTTACTTGCTCCTTATAGAACTGATGCAGAAACAGACAAAATGATTTTTCTGTTTTCAGTTCATTTTTACCTGAAGTAAAAGAATGTCTCAGAAGCATATGCTTACTTGAGGAGAACTAAACAACTGTAGAGAATCCAGGAACGATGCAATGTTATATGAAGTGATAGTTTTATTGTTTTCTGGGCTGCTGTGTAGATAGAAATATTATTCAGAATTCAAAATGCAAAATGAGGACAACTTTTTTAACTGATTCACTATGCAGGTGCTAGTAAGCTTTCAGTGTTTTGGATATGCCTGAAACTCTGATAAAGTTAAATAGTTAACTGAAACACAGAAACTGTTTAATCTTATCCTTATAATGTTAAAGAATATACAAGTTCTAGGCTAAGAAATATCCTGTTATTTCAAAAATGTCTGCTTATACAATAAAGGCTCCGCCTCCTTCACTTAAAATGAACAATCCAAGTGGAATAAAAGAATGGCTTACAACTGACCAAAAAATGAATATGGTTCATTATGTTAATGAGAAAAAATTAAGAGAAAATGTTTTCAATGTTGATGAAAAGTCAAGGAACACAGATTACAGTAAAGATGATTTTATGAATAAAATCCATTAAAGAAAGCACTACTTCAAACTTTGATTCAATAATTTTGCATAAAGGCAGAAATGTCATACTATCCTACAGATTATATGGTTATGTATTACTAACCTTATATTAGCAACAGATAAATGGCTTTCTTAACTGTATTTTCCTGGATATCTCCAAGGATAAGTCTCCTTTCAGTTTTGTATCCCATAAACTATACTACTGTACAACATATCAGCAAAAATATTATAATATATTAATATATTAATTAATATCCTACAATTTAGAAACATTAAAATAGTTAAAATTACTGAAAGTTTTAACTTGCCCAAAATATTCCCTAACCATAAGGGACAACTAATGATGCTATAAAATTCTATATAACATTCCCAGTCTACTCGTTTTGGAGGGCAGGTTGCCATTCCTGACCTATTTTAATCTTTCAAAGACGGTCACTGCTCCCATTTAAAGGTATAAGCAATTAAGAGATACAGACCCTCAGAACTACCTTCTGTAATTTACCTAATTTCTAAGTTTAAAATGTAATCTAGGCTGGGCGTGGTGACTCTCACCTGTAATCCCAGCACTTTGGGAGGCCAGGCAGGTGGATCACCTGAGGTCAGGAGTTTGAGACCAGCCTGGCCAACATGGAGAAACCCCATCTCTATTAAATATACAAAAATTAGCCAGGCAAGCTGGCGGGTGCCTGTAATCCCAGCTACTTGGGAGGCTGATGCAGGAGAATCACTTGAACCGGGAGGTGGAGGTTGCAGCAGTGAGCCAAGATCACGCCACGGCACTCCAGCATGGGCGAGAGTAAGACCCTGTCTCAAAAAAAAAATGATGTAATCTAAATCCACACCCTCAATTTTATTTAATTCTTATCGCATGCATCTTCCCAGGCTTTCTTGGGATCAATACCAGAAACTTATAACCAAACTGTAATTGTTGGCAAAGGGGCTTTAGCTAAGAGACATCCTTCCAATTAATCCAACTGAGAAAAAATGACCATAGTTTGTGGGAGGACACTGGGTTCTTCCAACTGTCACATAGACAATTCTCTTTTTTTTTTTTTTTTTTTAGTTTGTGGGAGGACACTGGGTTCTTCCAACTGTCACATAGACAATTCTCTTTTTTTTTTTTTTTTTTGAGACGGAGTTTCACTCATGTTACCCAGGCTGGAGTGCAATGACGCGATCTCGGCTCACCGCAACCTCCGCCTCCTGGGTTCAGGCAATTCTCCTGCCTCAGCCTCCTGAGTAGCTGGGATTACAGGCACGCGCCACCATGCCCAGCTAATTTTTTGTATTTTTAGTAGAGACGGGGTTTCACCTTGTTGACCAGGATGGTCTCGATCTCTTGACCTCGTGATCCACCCACCTCGGCCTCCCAAAGTGCTGGGATTACAGGCTTGAGCCACCGTGCCCGGCCCACATAGACAATTCTCAAACTGTTTCTTGGATTCTCCTGTGCAGCTCCTCCCTGCTTTCAAATAGAATGAATATGTTCAGGGAAAACAAATTATCCCTCTCCCCTCTATTAATACTAACAACTAAAACAAAGATATTTATAAAATGTAATGAATTATAAATGAGATAAAATATTAGTAATTACTGTCTACTTACAGCTTCCCCTTTCTAAAAAAACTTAAAATATATTTATTTTTCAACATTTCTGAGTATAACATAAAAAATTATTTGCTTTCCCATATAACAAATTACAGATTTAACTTGAGGCAAAAAAGGTTAAGTGACTTACCCAAGGTTACAATTAGAGGTACAGCTGGGGCTAGAAACCAGGTCTCCTGAGTCTCAGCCCAGTGCTCTTTTCCTTAGCCCATGATGCCTTATCAGAAAAATCCAAATACAGTCAGACCCCCAGTTATATGGGTATGAGTTACACTGATTCACATATACAAACTTTATATAGTGTGACCAATGTTTCAACTCACGCGGTACCCTGCTTCCATTTATGCAGTATGCCAGGCATCGGCACGATTTTCAGTGGCACACAGGCGGTTGCCACCACCAGGGCCCTAGGCAAAATTGCAAAGAAGGCAAAGTTTGTCTTTGGCCCTCCCACCTCCCTTATGCATTCCTCTCCCACCTCCTGGCAGTCCCCTTGCCCAGCCTCCCGGCACCATCATGCTGCCCTCAGATTGTCTAAAGCCCCCAACTTCCACCACTCACCCAGGACTGTCCTTTCTTGAAGTGCCCAGTGATCCAAAATTACCTCTCCATTGCCCTGCTAATAAAATTCCTACTCCTGAGGATTCCAGTGAAGTTTAGGTAATCTAAATGATTAACTGCTTTTAGTAATTCAAGATAAGGCATATTTAACTAACAGACTTAAATCTCCAATGAATTTTAAAAGGAACTAATTAAAAACTGTTGGGAAAGGGAGGGGGAAGAAACCTTAAGGGAGTGGGGAGGTAATGTTTTTCCAAAGCCCAGGACTCTGTGCCACTTCAGATTCCTTCACAGACAGGACACTAAGGGTCGAGGGGATCACTGCCACATTGAACCCCACTATCTAAAAAGAGAGTAGTTGCTTCATAGTCTCTGAATTTAAAAAAAAGAAAAAAAAAAAGGAAAAAGTTGCCTTAAATACCCTCCTACCTACCTTTTCCATCTCTCTCCCACCTCCTGGATCCCCATTTCCACCTTAGTGCCAAAGACACCCAACAGCGTTCCCACAAGCTGTTTGTGTGTCCAATACAAGGCTTCCCATTAAATGGTTTCAAATTACATGGCGTTATTCAGGGGACGTTTCCATGTTCCCCTATCCCTGGATAACTTGAAGTTGACTGTATGCAAAAAAGAACAATCCTAATTATTAAAAGTCCTGAATCATAAAATGATATATATAAACTCATTATATGTCTGGTAAGGAAAAAAAAGTTCTGATTCTTATTTTGCATATATAAAAGAATTAATTTTGATATCTAAAAAAAACCCACTCAATTATTTTTCCTTGAAAGTAATATATATTTTACTTCTGACCCAATACAGCAGTGAAAATCCAGTCATTTCAGCTAAATAATACTGTGGACTCCTAAATGAGTTCAATCATAATAAATCCTCTAACTCTCAAGGAAAAAAACAAAAAAATCCAGTAACAGATACATTTAAAAAAATACACAAAGTGGATTTTAAGAAATCCAAGTTTCTGCTGACTACACACACAGAAATATATTTAAATTTAGTTTTGCAATACTAGACAGGCTGCCTAATTCAGAAACTTATCAGGAGATGGTTTACCTTGACCCAACTACCCTCCCAGTAAAACTAGGAAATCCAATTCATGAAGAAGATACCAAAAATGGTATCCATCAAGGACTAAAAGGATCATGTAAAGCAAGTATTAAATAATTTCTTCAACTTTATTACACAAATTAGTTGTTCTGTTAGCTAGGATTCAATGAAGCCCGTTCCCAATACGCTCTCATATTGGAAAAGGAGCAACGTGAAGACATGCTGCAGTGATAAAGTAACCATTCTTATTAAAACGTGAGAAATGATAACAGTTAAAAGTTTCTCCAACGGCATTTTAAGTTAATGTTAACTTTCCACACAAAAACTCATTTCCTTCCCAATCTTTCCCTCCTCTCTACACAACCACAAGTAGGTTTGCCATCTACACCTATTTGCCCATATGTTTTACAAAGAAAAGTTCCCAGTATGGGTTTTTATTAAAACTAAAAATGTAAACACTGAAAAGCCACTCTATGCACTGCTGAAAGATTTGAATACAGTAAGATTTTTTAAATCTACTCATATTTTGCTGTAAAGCACTCACGTAAAAGAGTTAACTTAAAAACTAAATTTAAGATGTGCCTTTTCTCTTAAATCAATACACTTAAATAACTTGTCAAGAACAAAAGCATTCCTAAGTGGCTAAACTATGCCTAAACAAGCAACACATAAAAACTACCAAGGATTTTGCTGTTAAGAAAGCAATGAACTAGACCTTTCCTACATATTTGAATAGATTTAAGTTCAATTTGACAGTACATTACTAATTATCATCACCAAAAAAAGCAACAGCATTTCATCCTTTTATTTAGAAATTCTCTTTATGACAAAGAATAAACCAGCACTTAAGAGCTCTCTATACAGATTCTAAACTAAACGCCTCAAAGGATCTTTGTTCCCCTAAATTGTACTTCACTGGGCACCAAATTTTCAAAATCGTTCTATGCAGGGCACATGCAAGATATGTCAATATTCACTGAACAAAGCCTCTATTAAATTGTCTAACAAAATGGAGGTCTCTCGGAAAAACAGGCCATAACATGTTCCTTTTCACAAAATGGGGCCAAACACACCCCTTCAAGAAACCATGGTTTGGGTCAGATTTTCCATAAAAATGGTTGTTTCTGTGGGGCTCGATGGTGCATCTCTGGGACTGGGTTAGTAATAAAGGTTTCCTCCTGACCCAGGAAGAGGAGGGGGGGAGCTTCTCTCTAGGTATCTGGAGGACGGCGGCGAGGGATGATCCCAAAGCTCTGGGTTAAGGAATCAGATCCGGGGCGGAGGCCTTAGCTGTCCGCAGGTACCTAACCAGCGACAAAACGGGCCCCCCAACTACGCAAGAGAGACGCGGGCTCTCCCGTCCCAGCCAAGTCAACATTAAAAGCACAAACTCTCCTTTCTGCCTCCAGGCCCCGCCTCACCCCATTGGCAGCAGTTCCCGCCAATCCGCACGGTCACCGCCCCCCAAGCCCGCCTGCCAAGCCCTGATTGGATGGGACGGGGGCCGGGGACCTCGTGTTACCAATCTGGGAGCCCCTTACTCAGCCACACGCGCGCGCCCAGGTGCGCCCTCGAAACCCCTTCCCTTCGCCGTCCCCGTCCCCTCCCCCACCCCCAGGGCCCTGGCAGACGCTTACCGTCCCGGGAGGTGCCCATCAACTGGTCCAGCATCGCGCGCATCTGGGCCTGCGCCGACATGGCGGCGGCGTAGCGGGCTGACGGGCGGGGGTTGGGCGCAGACCGGGCCCTTTTGGACGGGGGGATGAGGGTAAGGGATGGGGGAAGGTGCGCTGCTGTCTCGGTGGCCGCCGCCGCCTCGAGGCGTGCGGAAAGGGAGCCGGAGGGGTTGCGGGAGAGTCCGGGCTGCGCTCCTCACGACGACGTGTACGTGGAAGACGGCAGCCCCCGACAGCGACCCTCGTGCCCTCACTCTCCGTTCGGTTCTTGGGACAGAAGCGACAAGGGCCAAGCAAGCTCTCGCCTTCAACACCGCCACCCGCCAGAAGCCGTCAACCCCCCCTCCAAGCTCTGACGCCGCTCGCCGCCACCGTCGCCGCGACGGGAGCGCGCACGCTCCTCGCGCTCAGTCGTTTCCCGCGGGGGCTCCACCAACTGGCGTCCAGCTGTATGGCTCCGCCCGCGTAGAGTTCCACCCTAACGGCTCTGGGCCCGTGCACGCGCTCTCCTCTCGCCCCCTTACCCCGAATCTCGCGATACTCTGGTTCCTCAACCTACGTTCCAAGCCGGATCCGCCCTGAGGCGCTAAGCCTTGCTACGCTCCCTCCCGGCTACCGG